AGATACTCAAATATCAATACGCTGTGGGAACTCATTTCCATGGGGGCTCCTAATTGAAAACTTCCCGATGTCTGACTCAATCACGGTGAATATCAGGTCGAGTCCAGAGCTTCCCTTTGGCTCTCATTCTTGCGGGTCCCTTGGCTCAAGAAGTTTCTTGTTATCACGTCCAAGAGTTTAGCTCTCCATGTCTCTGCACCTCCATGTGGTTCCCCCATTCTCCCAGTCTTCCTTTCCGTGGTTGAAGTGTCTTGTCTCCAGGTAAACTGTGCGTGCGTGTGGGTGCGTGGTGGCGCGAGTGTGCGTGCGTGTTGCCTCTCATGTTGCATAGTGAGGTAGGTTGCAACATTAGGGGAAAGCAGGACAATAGAGATAGAATAAATATTACCAAAGATTTTTTATGGCTGGATTATCTTGAAAACAGTTGAATAGAGTCGGATGATTTTTCTCTGTAGGTTGCACGGCAACGGTCTGAATACTGATGGGCCAGTCTGCTGCATAACCCTGCTGGACGTGACCACTGCAGATTTCTCGCAGACCACACCGTGACATGACCCTGGCAGACATGACTCTTGCTTGACCGTAGCAGACATGACTGTTGCTTGACCGTAGCAGACATGACTGTTGCTTGACCGTAGCAGACATGACTCTGGGAGACATGACTCTGGCCCACGCGTCAACCTACACCGGGACGTAGTTCTTGTGTAAATTGTTTACAGTAGACACACCAAGAGCTCTTCAGGGTATAAAGTAGTTACCTATACGCGCACGCACACACGCGCGAACACATGCGCGCACACACGCACACACACGCACACACACGCACACACACGCACACACGCACACACGCACACACACACACACACACACACACACACACACACACACACACACACACACACACACACACACACACACACACACACACACACACACGCGCGGACACACACGCACACACACGCGCACACACACACATGCACACACACACACACACACACACACACACACACACACACACACACACACACACACACACACACACACACACACACACCAACACAGGCCACCGGGCCTGGTAGCCTGGTGGATAGCGCGCAGGACTTGTAATTCTGTGGCGTGGGTTCGATTCCCGCACCATGCAGAAACAAATGGGCAAAGTTTCTTTCACCCTGAATGCCCCTCTTACCTAGCAGTAAATAGGTACCGGGAGTTAGTCAGCTGTCACGGGCTGCTTCCTGTGGTGTGTGTGTGCGTGTGGTGTGGGGGAAAAAATAGTAAACAGTTGATTGACAGTCGAGAGGCGGGCCGAAAGAGCAAAGCTCAACCCCCGCAAATACAACTAGGTGAATACAACTAGGTGAATACACACACACAAAACTATAGGAATAACAGAACACTTGAGAGCAGAGGAACATACCAGAGTGCCAGGAATGAATATGTCAGGATGAGAAGAGAGGCAGAAAGACAATACGAAAATGACATCGCAAGCAAGGCAAAGACTCAGTCTAAATTGTTGCATAGCCACATCAGGAGAAAAACAACAGTAAAGAAACAGGTAATGAAATTAAGGAGAAGGGCAGAAGGATTCACTACAAACGACAAGGAAGTGTGTGAGGAACTGAATAAGAAATTCCAGGAGGTCTTCACCTTAGAGCAAGGAGAATTTCCAGAGATAAGAGACAATAGCTAACCAGGAGCCACTGGAAGAGTTTGAGATTACCAGCGGGGAAGTAAGGAAGTGTTTACTAGAGTTGGATGTGACAAAGGCTATAAGCCTAGATGGAATCATCCCTTGGATACTAAAGGAAGGAGGACCCACTCGTCACATTCCACAGCCCGAAACCTCGTCTTGGACACTGACTTCCTGTTATGTCGTTCAGGTACTCCCAGTTGTGTGACTTCCCAGGTACCCCAACCCACTTCCCCGTCTTGTACACAAGCCTTTCTTGAAGAACACTTCCAAATGCTCTTTGGCGAATGTTTTTGAGGTAAAGGAAGAAAGAGGTGGAGGGAAGGGAGGGGTTGGGGGTGATGGAGGAATGTTGGAGGTCGTGGTGGTGGTAGTGGTTATGGTGATGGTGATGGTGGTGGTGGTGGTGGTGGTGGTGATGGTAGTGGTGGTGATGGTGGTGATGGTGGGGGTAAGGGGCCGCCCCTTAACCTCTGTCCTCGCCTCCATTAGTTTCTTAGTATTTCAGCCACAATTACAGGAAGCGGTGAAGGACTCGCGGCCTGCGTGGCAGTTATTTGGTCTGATGTTGGTGGAGGCTGTGTGGAGGTGCAGAGGTTGGTGGAGGCTGTGTGGAGTGTTGCTGAGGTACTCACCCGGCTCCCTGCAGTGGGAGGGGGGTGGAGAGAGAGAGAGAGAGAGAGAGAGAGAGAGAGAGAGAGAGAGAGAGAGAGAGAGAGAGAGAGAGAGAGAGAGAGAGAGAGAGAGAGAGAGAGAGAGAGAGAACTATCAGGAGAAAACGCCAAGCCATTACGACTATACAGCACTTGGAAGGGGTCAGGGTAAGAATTTGGGATGGGAAGGAATGGTGCCCAACCACTTGGACGGTCGGGGATTGAACGCCGACCTGTATGACGCTAGACCTTCGGCAGGATGGGGAGGGGGTTAGGAAAAGGGGACGAGGTAGAGGATATAGGGGAGTGAGGGTGTGAGAGAATGTAGTGAGGGAGAGTATATAATATATATAATATAAGTGAGTGAGAATGATATGGTGTGAGAGAATATAGTGAGGGAGAGTGAAAGTAACACAATGTAGTGAGGGTGTGAGAGAGAGAGAGGAAGAGAGGAGAGGGAAATCATCAGGGGTGAGAAAGCACCAACCCATTACGACTATAGTCAAAATATGATAAACGAGGCAGAATAAAAACACCATATAACTAAAGCTGTAGACACGAACAACAGAACAACATGAGTGAAGAGACACATGAGGAAAAGACACCACCAACAACAGAAGGGAAGTGAACCCGTACGAGGTAAAGTAAAGACGAGTTTACAGACGCACTCTGGAGATGACGGGACAAGATGCTCCCAAGACACACCTGAGGCCAGGTATTAAAGGAACCACAGTCTATACACGCCTTAACGGGCTCACCATAGCCCGTGCTACATGGACACTTCGCTCTGAGTAGCTAAATCTTAAACAAGAACAACAACTTGACACGTCTTACTTTCACTCGCGAAACTTTCTCCCAAGAACTACCTGTATATTTTTAACATTTATACGTTTCTTAAATTAGTTCAATAACAATTAAAATACTACTATTATCACTAATATTGCTGCAGCTTCTACTGCTGAAAATGAAAATATTACTTAATGTCCAAAGTTTCTAAGCTCTGTAAAAACTTTAAAATAAACTTATATTTAGAGAAACTATACACCAACGGCGGTCCAACTTTCCGGCAGTTCTCGCAACTTGTTTTAAATCTTCACTAACTCTTAAATGATAACACACGATCACCGAGGGGAAGAAATACATAATCCATTACCGGGGGAAGAAATACATAATCCATTACCGAGGGGAAGAAATACATAATCCATTACCGAGGGGAAGAAATACATAATCCATTACCGAGGTAAGAAATACATAATCCATTACCGAGGTAAGAAATACATAATCCATTACCGCGGGAAGAAATACATAATCCATTACCGCGGGAAGAAATACATAATCCATTACCGAGGTAAGAAATACATAATCCATTACCGAGGTAAGAAATACATAATCCATTACCGCGGGAAGAAATACATAATCCATTACCGCGGGAAGAAATACATAATCCATTACCGGGGGAAGAAATACATATACATGTGTAGCGAGGGGGAACAATCACGTACGACCTTTCTGGAGACAACACGACCTGCTGAAGGTCACGACTCGGGTCTTCCCGGCCTTAAACCATAATTTGTTTCCCTGTTAATTATTGCTATTCGTTGTTTTATCGCGGTAACGTTTGTGCACTGAAATGTTTTATGTGGTAAGAGGTTTGTGCAGCGGACTGTGTTAACCCTTAAACTGCGCAGCTGTGTAAAAACGCTGACGATTAAACGCAGCTGGCACATCAGTTTTAGGGTTTAAAGGCGCTCGCTATATGCACATCGCCGCTGATGTGTGACTGACAAACCTTTCATAAGTCCATTTAGGGTGTTTTTTTATCTTTTGTACTGTATTCAGTATAAAAATTACAGTATTGTACTGTATTTCGGTTAGCACTTGGAGGTAACTTGACGAGGGAGAGCGGGGGAGCGTGTCGTCGTGTCCTCAGTTGTTGTTGTTATAGATTCAGCTACTCAGAACAAGTGCCAAGTAGCACAGGCTATGGTGAGCCCGTAGTAGACTTACCTGGGACAGGAGCGGTGCTGTTATCTGGGTGTCCTCAGTGGTGGAGGCTGTGTATAGCTGCTACACCTGCGCCTCCACGAGGACCGGCGCGGGTGTAGGACACTGTACAGCTACCGTGTATCAGGGTACACGGTGGTCTGGTGTACCAGTACAGCCCCAGGCCAGGTGCTCCTCTTTGTTCCTGACCTGTGACCCGTGTGTCATGACCTGTGAGCAACCTTCACTCTCTCACGATGTCTTCTGTGTCCTGCTGTGTCATCTTCTATGTCCTACTATGTTCTATTCTGCTGTGCCCTTTTCTGCTGTGACCTCCTCTGCTGTGCCCTTTTCTGCTGTGACCTCCTCTGCTGTGCCCTTTTCTGCTGTGACCTCTTATACCGTGATCTCTTCTGCTACGCTTGTGCTGATAAAGCTACAAGAATTAACAGCAGAGGACAAAGCAGGTCATCCTCTGCTCCGGAACAGCTTTACCAACACGCTATGTATCCCCGAGCAGCATGATGGGACGGGAAAGCAGGAACCGGAAACAATGGCAGTCTCCCCCCTCCCCCCATGCTACACACAGTGGCAGAACTCGTATGTTCACTTTGACCGCAAGTTTGCTTCGTGTTTTGTAAGTGTTATCATTGTCACTAAAGCTTTTCTGGGCCATGACTCGTTCGAGGGACCTTGTGGTCTGCTCATCACTCATCGGGATACATGGGAGAGTAAGCTGGGAGATGAGTTTACTGGGTCTGGTAAAACACAAGCTTTCACTAGGTGGTGAGTGTGATGATACAAGCTCTCACTGTGAGTGTGGTGATACAAGCTCTCACTGTGAGTGTGACGATACAAGCTCTCACTGTGAGTGTGGTGATACAAGCTCTCACTGTGAGTGTGGTGATACAAGCTCTCACTGTGAGAGTGATGAAACAAGCTCTCACTGTGAGAGTGATGATACAAGCTCTCACTGTGAGTGTGATGATACAAGCTCTCACTGTGAGTGTGACGATACAAGCTCTCACTGTGAGAGTGATGATACAAGCTCTCACTGTGAGAGTGATGATACAAGCTCTCACTGTGAGTGTGATGATACAAGCTCTCACTGTGAGTGTGACGATACAAGCTCTCACTGTGAGAGTGATGATACAAGCTCTCACTGTGAGTGTGATGATACAAGCTCTCACTGTGAGTGTGACGGTACAAGCTCTCACTGTGAGTGTGATGGTACGAGCTCTCACTGTGAGTGTGACGGTACAAGCTCTCACTGTGAGAGTGATGATACAAGCTCTCACTGTGAGTGTGATGATACAAGCTCTCACTGTGAGTGTGACGGTACAAGCTCTCACTGTGAGAGTGATGATACAAGCTCTCACTGTGAGTGTGACGGTACAAGCTCTCACTGTGAGAGTGATGATACAAGCTCTCACTGTGAGTGTGACGGTACAAGCTCTCACTGTGAGAGTGATGATACAAGCTCTCACTGTGTGATGATACAAGCTCTCACTGTGAGTGTGACGGTACAAGCTCTCACTGTGAGAGTGATGATACAAGCTCTCACTGTGTGATGATACAAGCTCTCACTGTGAGTGTGATGATACAAGCTCTCACTGTGAGTGTGACGGTACAAGCTCTCACTGTGAGTGTGACGGTACAAGCTCTCACTGTGAGTGTGACGGTACAAGCTCTCACTGTGAGTGTGACGGTACAAGCTCTCACTGTGAGTGTGACGGTACAAGCTCTCACTGTGAGTGTGGTGATACAAGCTCTCACTGTGAGTGTGGTGATACAAGCTCTCACTGTGAGTGTGGTGATACATGCTCTCACTGTGAGAGTGATGATACAAGCTCTCACTGTGAGTGTGACGGTACAAGCTCTCACTGTGAGTGTGACGGTACAAGCTCTCACTGTGAGTGTGATGATACAAGCTCTCACTGTGCTGGTGAGTGTGATGAGCCTGTCTGTATCTCCCCCATCCCATATATCCCTCCCCCTACCTTCGTATTCAATATTCCCTCCCTGTTCCATCTTTCTCTACCCTTCCTATTTCATCTTCCCCTTCCCATACTTTCAGCTTTTTTCCCTCTATGCAAACTTATATTATTATATTCCTTCACAAAATGTGTGTTTTTCTCTACCTCCTCTGTTTACTGTTCCTCTTCCTCCTCCTCTTCCTCCTTCTCTTCCTCCTCTCCTCTTCTCTCTCTTCCCGCCCCAGCTCCTCCCTCATCCTCATTCTCAAATCGTGAAACCTGGAGAGAGAAATGTGTAGGATGGGGATGAATTATCCTCCAAGTTCAGCCTTCGATGTGACCGTTTTTTGTACAGTCAGATGTTTTGTGTTTACCTATTTGTGCCTGTAGGATCGAGTGACTTAGCTCTTGGACCCCACCTGTCTAACCCTCAGTTGTCTAATGTACTGACTTCCAACTTATTTTTCTCTATCATACCAACTATATATATATATTTATCTCTTGCATACATGTTAAGAGGAAGCAGCCCGCAATAATTGTCTAATTCTCAGGTTACCTATTTATTGTTAGGTGAACAAAGGCATCAAGTGAAATAAACGGCCCATTTATCTCAACCGGGAATCGAACTCGGGTCCCTTGATTGCGTGTCGCGGATGCTGACCACTCGGCCGTGTGTGTGTGTGTGCTAGAAATATATGTAGTTAGTAGATATGATAGAGGAAACAGGTTATGAGTCATTACATTAGACAACCGACAGCTTAAAAGGCGGAGTCCAAGAGCAAGCAACTCCATCCTGCAGGCACAAATAATAAATATAAATAATAAATACACACACAAAAACACATTTATGCTCATACACCACAGAGAGAGAGAGAGAGAGAGAGAGAGAGAGAGAGAGAGAGAGAGAGAGAGAGAGAGAGAGAGAGAGAGAGAGAGAGAGAGAGAGAGAGAGAGAGAGAGAGAGAGAGAGAGAGAGAGAGAGACAGAGACAGAGAGAGACAGAGAGACAGAGAGACAGAGAGAGAGGTTGATAATTGTAAATGGAAATATTCCTGCAGAGGACAGAGAGAAACTCCTGATTGCCTACTTAGAAACTTCAAAAGGTTGCAAACAAATTGTACCTGGCACACAGGTGTGTGTCAACACACTTATGAGCAGCCAAACGTAAATGCAACTTCATAAATTTCACAGATTTTCAATTCAATAGTCAATGACATCCAGGAAGGTGACTATATAGACACTCAGATACATATAAGTGTTTTGGAGGAGGATGGAAATAACCAAGAGGTTGACCAGACCACACACTAGAAGGTGAAGGGACGACGACGTTTCGGTCCGTCCTGGACCATTCTCAAGTCGATTGTGATGAGGAGGTAGAGACAGGCAATAAATAGGCAAGAGAGAGCTGAGGAGCAAAGTAAGGTGTAGGGGATAGTAGTAATAATGAGAACTGATGTTCAACCAAGAGGTTGAGCACGGATCCAACAAACCCAGAGATGAGTGAGCACCAAAAAGGAGCACATAGAGCCTACACGTATAATTACCAGCAAGAACAAATGCAGAATGTAGCACATGAAAAGATAAGAAAAAGCCAGAACGCAAACTCTGAACCTCTCGATATTATTCATGTGGTACATGCAAATGCAGGTTTTCACGAAGAACTAATGGACTATGCAAATATAAGCATCCCAAAAAGTTACAATATTCTCAATACTTGTAAATATTACAAAAATTTAACTTTTTGCCATGCAAAGTTGGGTAAAAAGTTCACTAAATAAAAGAGCATGATATGACAGAGACTGTTATAAATTTCATATTAGAGGAACCAGGTGAATAAAACAAACTGAACTTGAGAAAATTCACTATGAAAGAATCGCGCATCTTTACTTAGCTTCTAAATACCACAAATGAAGTGGTATTATTATTATTATTATTATTTTTCTACCACAGACGTGGCCAGACATTTACAATGCTAACCAGCATATATACATTTTCTTCTGTCCTCCATGGACAGGGTTAGAGAAGTGTTAAACATATAGTTCAAGGGTTTATTGAACACTCAACCACAGAAGGTGATTCGGTGCTTTTAAAATGCTAAGCTAACCTACATACGTAAATACATAGATAATGAAGTGGTGGAAGTGCTGATAATCAAAATGAAAATCTTAAACTTAGTGATTGATCTTGAATATATATATCACCAGATGGAAATCCTCAGCAGTTTAAAGACCAACTTATGAAAATAGAACTTGCTTAGATCACCTAACAAACTCTGCCCCAAACATCATCTTGCTTTGTGACTTCAATTTATGGCATCTAAAATTTTAAAAATATAGTAAATACAGTTATATGAAAGAGAATCCTAGGAAACCGTCAAAATGAAGTCAAACAAATGACCTAAGAAATGTATGACATATTTACCTTAAACTAGAGAATAATGAAACCAACTAGAAAACACCCTAGACTATATTTTTACAATGATGGACTGATGAGGAATATAATGATTACAAAATACATATTAATTGGATCACAACTTAAGTGAAATTCACACAAGCGTGGCGAGTAATCCTGTACGACCAGACTCTCATAAATTTTAATCATAAATTGATTAACTGGGAACTAATAAACCAAGACTTATAGATAAATATGGAAGAACAGTTAGACAATGCCAACCTAAATCAGTGCCTAGAGAAAATAGGTACAGTAACCCCTAGATATATGCACAAGTCGCATACAATTAAGAGAACAAAAAACAAAGAGAAACGGTGCAAATTGGAACGAGAACGAGAGTTTCTCTGTAAGTGAAGAAAACAAACTGTAGAACAACGCGAACCTTCTTCATTCACTCTATCACAAGAATGACAGGAAAGGCTATGTAGACAAATAGAAAAAATTCCACTAAAGGTACAAGAATTATGTAAAATTGAGGCGAGGCGAGGATAGAATATTGTTGCACACCAACAGCCTCATTCAAAGCTGGAGACGTTGCTGACCTGGAGAACGTGCAGAGATATTTTGCTGCTAGAATCCATTCAATAAAACATTTAAATTATTGGGAACTTCCAAAATAGGCATTCTCTAGAGCGCCAGCGAGAGATACATAATAGTTTACACTTCTAAATAGTAGAGAGAGACTGTTTCCAAATTTGCACGCATAAATATCTCTTCACGAGACCAGAAGGCATGGCAGGAAATGCAGAATACCCCCCTTTGACAAGCGGAGGTGCAATAGGTACGCTGAGAGAGAACTCTATCAACATCAAGGGCCCAAGACTTTTCAACACTCCCTCTGTACATAAGGGAGTATGTACCTGGCAGGCCTCTCACAGGGTTGTAAGAGAGACCTTCATAAACACCTCTAAAGAATACCTGATCAACCGGGCTGTCATTCATACGTCAAACTGCGAGCAGCGACTTCCAACAAACTGGTTAACCAGACCACCAACCAGGAGGCTGGCCGGAGACCGGGTCGCTGGGGACGTTGATTCCCGGAACTGACGATAGGTAGGTAAATTAACGGACTAAAAGGTGGACGACGAGGAAGGGTAATGTAAATACAGACAGACGTTCAGTACAGGAGGGGAGAATATATAGGTAAAAACTGCAGCTGTGGTCAGACAAACGTGTCTGGGTATAAAATATTCAAGACCCACACACACGCTCAGGAATTGTAAACCTGAGATTCGAGATGTAACCCTCCCCCCCCCAACCCCTCCCCCCTCCATCCCCACACACGTACACACACACACACACACACACACACACACACACACACACACACACACACACACAAATGAAAAGTTAGAGGTTTGCAAGGAGACTCGTATATATATATATATATATATATATATATATATATATATATATATATATATATATATATATATATATATATATATATATATATATATATATATATATTAGTATATTTTGGTAGCAGTCTTTCCTGTAGACATATATTATTAAATATGACCGAAAAAGTAAGATTAATAATTCTAACACGAATTTCCTCAATCTTTCGTACATTACGCTTCACTGTTGGAGGTAAATCAAAAATCAATTCTCCAAAATTCATTTTTATTTCTAGTCTGACGCGACACGGGCGCGTTTCGTAAAACTTATTACATTTTCAAAGACTTTAGTTCACAAATACACAACTGAATAGAACTTACGTATCTCCGATTTTATATCAACATTTGAGTGAGGTGGAAGGGGTGATGTGGCATTAACACAAGACAGAACAAAATGTGGTATTAATAGGGTATTAATTTCATCAACACAAGACAGAACAAGAGTATTAATAGGGTATTAATTTCATCAACACAAGACAGAACACGAAACAATGGATATTGAATAGAAGTGTTTGTAGAAAGCCTATTGGTCCATATTTCTTGATGCTTCTATATTGGAGCGGAGTCTTCAGGTGGGTAGAATATAGTTGTGCAATAATTGGCTGTTGATTGCTGGCAATCAACCCAGCAATCAACAGCCAATTATTGCACAACTATATTCTACCCACCTCAAGACTCCGCTCCAATATAGAAGCATCAAGAAATATGGACCAATAGGCTTTCTACAAACACTTCTATTCAATA